TCAGATTTTGAATTAGGTTTCTATGGAATGCGCTATCGTGCTAACAAATTCTGCGGATACGATACACGCCACAGGCTATACAGCGACGCACATTAAAGTGCTTTAAAATTGCCTCAAATCATTTTTTCTCGATAGAAAACGCATAAAAAACATGTTTTCGGGTGACTTAATTTGTTTGGCATAATACAGTACCCTTTCCACACCGTGCGGAAATGAAAAAATCATAGGTTTGTTGCTTTCAAGCGCAGTAACTTTCTGACCAATAAACGATTTTGATTCAAATTTTTACAGTAGTCTAGTTAAGGATGGTACTCTCCAAAAATAAAATGGACTTTGTAGTCGTCGCTCTTTTCATTGAAAGAGTCACTACATTATTGATTCATGTAGTAAAATTGCTAGTAGGATAGATTACCGGAAATTAACTAATACGCTGGTTATTAAACCGGTGATAGTGATAAAATTGGTCATCATTGAAATGAATGTATATGCATAGTAATCAAAATTACAATCTCCAATGCATGGACCTGATGAAACGTTGTGTTCCGCGTGCAATTCGTTTGATGAGTCTTCAGTAAATGTGCAATCATTGTACACGTTTTGCTTTTCATTGAATGATTTACAGCCTGCGTGGCATGGAGAAAAATATGTTGTTCTGGTTGAATCATCGCATACAGGACTGTATAGAATTCCATCGCAAACACAGTTGGCATTGCACAAAACAATTGATCCATTGACTAGCAATGAATTGCTATTGTCACATCCCAATTGAGTATATGACAACCTAACACATGCCAAAATTAAACCAATCATAACATTCCAAGAGAGTAAATACTTTGCTGATGGTTGAAATTTTTTAATAACGATACCAGACAATAATATGCCGATCGCCATCCCAAACATGTTGAGTGGTCCCGTGAAAACACTTCCGCCAGCTGATGTTTTATTGAATTGAACTTCCATCATTCGGCCCATAAATGTCATGGGACCAGAGCCAAGATGATAAAATACGCTAGCAAAACAATTCAACATCAACAATTTATTTGTTAACAGTCGCCATATTGCCTTTGGAAAATCTGAATACATCGAAATGAAAATAATATTCGTACCGTTTTTTTTTTTCTATTTAAATTATTGGGAATATATATTTTTATACCTTTCAAGTCACCATTTTGGTTCTCTTCGATTTTTCGTTCCATTTCAATGTTTTTATCACATTTATTTGTATCCAATTCAATGCTTTTGAACGTCTTTTCCTTCTTTACACTTTTTGGAAATGATCCAATTATTCCAGCAAAGATAAACATCAATATTCCGATCAGAATCCATCCAAGCCACCATGCACCCATCCAGCGTTGATCGTCTTGTGGGATGAGTGGTGTAAGCGTAGGAGCGATGTAAACCCTCAATATAATATAAGAAAAACCATATCCAAGTGTAGGACCAAAGATTCGCAACGCATATGCATAAGCAAATATTAACGGTGTGTTGCGTTTCTTTGTATTATCATCAATGTAAGTTGGTCCGAGTGAACAGTAAAGCGTATTTCCGATTCCGAGCGCAAATTGCGATAAGAATATTAGAATCAACGGAATGTAGGAAAATTCTTCATCACAATCGTCACCGAACAAAGCAGAACTTTGGCATATTTTACTATTTTTAAGTTTATTTGAATTTGAATCGATCTCTGATGAAATATTCTGTATTGAATGAATAATTAAAATTGCTTTTGTTTTAAAGAAAAAAAGTGTAAAGAATGGATATGAATTGTCGATTGAACATTGGTTGCATTATCAAAAAAAAAAAATACATCGGCGGAGGCTAAAACCTTTGTAGTACGATGTCCTGAACACGAATCAACGAAAAATAAATGAAATTTTACATCACCTGATTCCATGATAAGAATTCTTGTGTGTATTGAAGTGCTTCTTCGCCGGCGCCATAAATGAAATGCGGCCATGCCAATATGAAGCATGAGAATGCGCTGCAAGCTACACCCCATGACATCCACTTTGTAGTGTTCTTTTGACCACCGAAATACGTTAAAATCAGTGACAATAAAATCTGCGATACTTCATTGCCACTCAGAATTATTCCTATAAAAGAAGTCTTTATGTTATGAACTATAGTACAATAACACGTGTCTCATAAGTTTTAACACAAAATAAAACATTCGCCATTTGAACCGAGTTTCATTCAGCTGCCATGCTTGGCATAAGAACGTATGCTAGCTGAGAATGCGTCGTACGTCGCATGCTAGTATAGATATCGACACTATTTAGTGCTATTTCTATATATTATGGACACACTGAATATACTACAGGTTTTTTGGGTAACGAGTCCCAAAAAATATTTATGTGTGTATGTAAAATCGTAACTTTTTTATAACATTATCTTTATATGTTAACGGAGATATAACCACAATATAACAAAATCTTGTTACAAATCGAAAAATTTGAGGGGAAAATGCTGCTCGGGTTGTCTTCGCAAAATTTTTGAATAATTGTGGCGCATTGAACGAGAGATTTGTCGATTTTTTTCAACTTTCTCATCATTCTTTCAACTAATTTTTACTCGTTTCGAGCTCTTCAGTCCTTCTCAGATGATTGTTGACTGACCGACCTAGTTTTTGGCAATTAACAAATCAGCAGATTTTTGGTTTTGGTGGACGAACAGATTTTTTTTTGTTATCCAATTCTTCAATGGTCCTGCGTGAGATTGGCTTATCTTTATACACTTGCAGAATTTCGTTTGTACTCAGCCGTTCATGACATTGTTATTGGATACATTTCATCATACTGTTATTGACAGTAGTCTTGAGGTACCGATAAATGATCTGTATGCGTTAGTTGAAATTCCTGTGTTCGTTAGTGCAGCGTAATAAACACTTGAATTTTATGCAAAAACCTATGAGACATGTGTTAGCACACTACTTTTGTATTGTAGCTCACCCGTTGTTTCACTAGGGATTCTAAAGCGTTTTTCAAGTGTAGTTAATGTGATATTAAAGTAAGTGGCGCTGGCCGATTGAATTGTACCTAACACCACATAAACCACAATGAAACATCGTGCTTTCGCAAATTTTTGCATCCATTTTGGATGCCAAAACAAAGTCCCACAACCGTCCATGTTCAACAGATTTTCTTTTCAAAATAAAATTATAATTTTTTCTGCTATTGTTTAATTGCTTTTGGGAAAATAATCACAGATAATTACATAGTTGCGTTTGATTTAATGACTTTCATTGTAGGAAAAACTAATAAGAACGAATTACGAAAAATTGTGAACACTACACTTTTAAACAGACTTTTTATGTATTTATTTTTATAGAAAAGTCAATTCAACAATGAATATTCCTAGCTTAATTCAACGACTGAACGACAAAAAATCCATTGAACTAGTGAATAAAATGATGTGCTTTACTATCAGTACGTAACTTGCAATCAGCCAATTCCAGTGATTATATGCAGCTGAACTGTGCAGTGAATATCAGATATTTAACGTAGTGGGCCATGAGTTTACGTCGGTTGTTCAATCGCTCATCTGTTTTATTGTGTGCGTTGAAAATCTGATATTTACTGTTCAGCTCATAGATTAAATAATCTTATAAATGGTAATACTGCTGTATTGTAACTTTATACAATTCAATTATAATTCGGGTAATGCTTTTTTGCTTAAAAATAAGAATTCGGATTCAGTTTATCTATTATCTGAAACATTTCAACATAAATTTAATAGTTTCTTTTTATCCGCGCTATTCGTATGCTCTATTTATTGTGCAATTTGCAGCTACATAACAGGAAACTGCTTATATTGAACTGCATTGTGTTTATAACACAACGATTGACCGCTTAAAATATTTCCTGGTATATATAGAATGCTGAGACGTTTTAATTTTTATCATCTCAGATCTGAACTCTCGGATATAGTTTTATTTTGAAGTATTTCCAGCGTACCAATTTTGAAATTTCACTTAATTCTGAATAATTTGTTACGAAATTTATTTATTTTGTTATATTGTACTTGATACGAAATTAGTTTATATGTTTATATTTAAGCAAATATATAATGATTTAATCTCTTATCGCAATGGCTGCACCGTATCTCGTATATGCCGCTCTTCTTCTCCAAAGGTGTCGGATCTTTCGTCCAACCGAGAATGTTACGATGTTTATTGTTGTTAGCACATACAATTTTCATTCCTTCTCTTTCATACGCACTGGATAATAAATTTGTAATCGACAGAGCGCAGGTAAATGAAACTCTTTGTTGTTCATTAAATGATGTTTCGCTGATTTGTGTGAAAAAGTAGACATTTCTGATCTGAATTTTTTACGTGAATGCTTCTGAATTAAATCGCCCAAACGATTATCAGATCAATATTTAATAAATAAAACGGCATCAGTGTTGAAAAACCTTTATTTCTTTGTGTTATTATGCACAAAAATGGTGGATTCAACTGAAACATGCGAATACAAACTTTCTACCTTACCCTTTCACATATTTTTTCCACCTTCCAGTTTGAAACACCTTTTAAATGAATAATGCAATGACGTCAAATGCAAAAAGAATGTAATAATTATTTCTGCCGACTAAATGAAATTAAAACACCAAAAAAGCTGTGCATTTTGAAGTTTTTATTAATTTATTTTCTTTAAATTAAAACTACTCTTTACAAAAATTTTAAATTAATTAATTCTTTCTCGCAATTCTTATTCCAAGGCGATCAATATCAAAATCAACAAAATTATTATTGTGAAAAGTCATATTCATTCGATTCTAATGTTGTAATCGATTGTGATCATGAAACAAATTGACTTTTAAACTATTTGAACTATCTATGTTTTTTTTTCATCTCTCATTAAAAATGTACGTTTGCACTAAATGAGTTGAGTTTTTATTTACATGGGGAAAATACAGTCTTCATTAATAGTCAAGAGTACTACGTAAAATTAGTGGTTGAAATTATATCCGAACAGAAACAATTTTATTTTCATTTCATTTGTTCGTGTGTTAATAGTTTGCTTAAAACGTATAAAACCATATGGCAAGAGACGCTTTACATAAAAAGAAATCCATTTTCCTATCATTTTAACATACTAGTTTACGTATCCTATATGTAAGTTAGCTGCTAATTTCGTACGGCTATTATTAACAATTGGGCAACATATTAGGATTTTCGAAAATATAGCACTATATAGCACAATTTTAAATTATCGACACAATAGTTTTGTTTTCATATTTTTCATAAGAAAAAGTTCCAAACGTTTTTTTTTTTGCTTCCTGTAAAAATTACATTCTTTCAAATTCTTAAAACATCTTGATACAAGGTGTATTACTTTAGCGCGCCATACCGTTGGCAATATTTATTTTGTCAGTCGATCGTCATCGAATGAAAATAATTCATATTTGCAAGTGTTTTTTTAAATGAAATTCATTCCATTTTCTGTTTCATTCGATCGTTTTTTTTACATTTCTCTATACATATTCTTCAGATGGATTTTGTACATTGTTTGGCATATGTCGTGGTACAATGCTTCCGTTCACGGAGTTCGGTAGTTCAGCGATGTCGTTGAAAACGCCCATTAACTTTTCAAAATTTAGGCCCCAATTCAGTAGATAGTCCCATCCGAGTGTTGAAGGCGAAGCAGCATTTTGTGGACGATACATGTTGCTTATGTGGTTGGAGAGTTCGTCATCGGAAGCAACCAAAGTGCTGAGCGACCCACGAAACGATGAATCAAAGCCATCGTATGTTGGTGGTGGTAATGGAGGTGGTTTATTTGCCATATCGGCACGTTCATTCTCTCGATCCGAATCAATGATTTGACGATCTGAATCGAGTATTTGAATTTCACGATTTGAATCGATCATGTGTCTGTTTAGATCGTCATACTCAATTTCAGAGCATGTGAAACTATCATTGGCATCACTTTCATCCGTTGACGTGGAGCTTTGTGCATCAACATTTGTATGCAAATGGCTAAGATGATGTGAACCACCCGCTCGTGGAACTTCACTGCTCAGCGTTGATACTAAACTTGATGTTCTTGGTCGAACATTCAAACGTTGAATTTCCTCGGCTGTCAGGCCCATCGGTGGACTGACGGCTTTCATCTTTGGCTGTGGTGGTGCTTGTTTCGTTCGACTTGCGCTTGAACTTTGACCAGAGAGCTGTGACATCACAGGGCTATTTAAACTTCGTTCGCTGTTACTGTGCAATGCATCCTTTCCAACGCCACCTGAACTCGATGTCGTTGCAAGCAAAGCACTTTGAAGCGGTTTACCCGAAATATCGTGCAACGTTAAAATGCGCGGTCGCTGCGAACTGAGCTCTGAACTTGGTGATAATCGTGCCAATGGTGTGCTTTGATGTTGACGAATGCCATTTGTTGATTGTGTTTGACTAGTTTGTGGCGGAATGCGTGGAAATGGGCTTGCATGATGCGGTGAATGTCGATGCTGTTGTTGTGGTGCGCTTGGCGTATGTTTGTGATGTGTATATGATGAAACCGGCGGTGGTGTTGCTTTGTATTTTCGTATCGGTCCCGCTTCACGATAACCTTTATAATGATAAACCACATCAATGTCGGATGGTGCAATCGAACTGGCATTTTCCAAATCGTAATGTTCAGGGAAACCACTTTCACTTAAATCAACACCACCCGGATGATCGTGCGCATGATGTTGATTTGGCATTGGCATTGAATGGTCATCACGTAATGGACTCTTACTGACCACCTCCCGTTCAATTATGTCCGGTCGTTGTGGACGTTGATGTTCGTTCGTAATATCACGTTCTTTGTACTTTTTCGAAATCAATTCGGGCCCAACCATGTGATGTGGCCGAATAATATCGGCATTTTCACCATGGAAACCAACCGATGCGTCCGGCGAATGCAAACCACGACTTATGACACAATCGCTGGTTGATGAACCCAAACCACTGCCAGCCAACAACGTCGAACCAGCTGAATGTTTGTTTTGAATTGAACCGGGACCACCTGTCTTCTCTTTGTATTGTTTTCGCAAGCGAAATACAACAAACGATGCAAAAATGGCCACAAGTAAAATCACAAAGAAAATGATCACAAGCGTAATTCCAATGCTCAATGGATCTGTTGTTTGAGCCGCTCCAATTCCAGCGATGCTATGACAACCTTGATAAACTCGTCCGTGTGAGAGAATTTCTTTGAACACACTGCCCGACCCATTGAACGGTTGAATTTCATTGTTGATGGTGAAATTGGCAAAACAACCTTCAAAACTTAGTGGAACACTGTCTTTGGGAAACAGTTCACGTCTTGCACTTCCAATCGATAACGTTGTCAAATATGGATCGAGGAAATCGTGTACATTTGGTGCATCCAATTCATCTCCAACACGTTTACCATCGATATAAATTGCCAATGCACGATTATACGAATACAATGTTACATTATGCCATTTTCCATCGGATAAACTTTCCAAATTATTTATCGTCATATTTACAGGATATGATTGCTTTGATTGGTAGACAATTTTACCGTTTCGCAGTTCAACGGACGTATAATGTTTGTTGGTCGCTGTGTAGAAAATCAATCCGTTTGGACGAAGAGTTCGGAATAGCATGCTCATCGATTTTGGCACATCAAAACCATCGTCTGATGTGAATGTTGTGTTTGTTGGCAATTGTGATCGTTTGCTTCGTTTTGCATAATCAATGGTTGGCCATGAATTCATGCCGAAATAAAAGTTCTCGAGTAATTGCATACGGCGATGTTTTTCGGATATGATGAATTCGACGAAGCCACCGTCACCAAGCGATATTGAATCAAGCGAATTATAGCAGTCCGGAGAGAGTAAGTTACCACCACATCGGCACATTGAATAGTGAAAACGATCGGAACAATCCGAGAATGAACCACATCGAGTTAATGTTGGATTTTGTGGCAATGCTTGCGAACATGAACCAGATTTTCGATTGCAAGTCGGAAGAATTCCTTTCGATTTGATTGGACTGCTCAAGTTCAATGCTCGACCATTGATGGAGACGCTATGCATACAACCGATGAAGTCGTCGGAATGAATTTGACCCGGTCGTTCGAGTACCGGATCGGCCGATGTTAAGCCGCCGATATAGAGAGGATGTTTATTGAAGTTCAGAGTTCTGCAATGACAAAAAGTAGGAAATTTAGTTGTTTTTTTATGTTCTTAACATCGTTATCATTTTTACTTACCCAGTCGGTCCAATATCATCCGAATAACATGATGAATCACCAGGTCGACATTCATCGCACGAATCTCCATAGTCCGTACATTTGGCCACACTCAATGACATAACACGTCCATTTCTCGTTGCTGTAACCTTATGCCATTGTCCATTTGCGATATTTCCTTCGGCATTACTTGTAATCACCGAAGTAATTGCTGTGCGTGAACCACCAAAAGAGAACATTGCTTTACCCTGAACGATTTCCATGGCAATGAAATCAGACCGGCCACCGCTTTGTACACCATAATTATACATGAGCAATGCATTTGGTTTCGTCGTGGCAAAAATGACGGAAATATCATTTGTTGCTGCATCCAACGATGGGAATGACATGTACGAAAGTTCTTTGAATCCAAATGTGGCACGTTCACAATGTCGTCCATACCGACCGTCTGGGCAACTGCATTTGTATCCGGGTTTCAGGCTGATACACTGACTGCCATGTAGACATGGATTCGGTCGGCATGAATCCGATATGGTTTCGCATTGATTTCCACGATAGCCCGGTCTGCATAAACAGAAGAACGACGAACCGTCTGGACTTTCACGGCATGAGCCACCGTTCTTGCATGAGCTGCTACTGCAAACGTCTCCTTTATCCAAATGACAACGCTTTCCTTCACGATGTGATGGGCATATACATTGAAAGTCGTATCCTTGTCGTCGACACTGTGCACCTGATTCGCATGGATTCGGTAAACATGGATCTTGACGTTTGTCACATTTTTGGCCAGTGTAACTGTCGGAACATTTACAAGTGAAATCATGATTGACCAATGGTGACGTGAAAATCATATTCTGACTGTCAACCGTTTCAATATCTTTGTAAACTTGAATTTGTTCACTGCAAATGCCACCATTATCACACGCTTGATCATTGCACGGCGAAAAACCAATAATAATCTGTTGAATTTGAAGCAATTGCTTTAATGCCTCATACTTTTTGCTCAATTTTTCGATGATATAGGCTGGTGTTTGATATCCAGTTGCAACATTCTTAACAGCCATCGTCAAATCTAAGCTCTCATTTCGATTGCGTAAACTGTACAAAAGAACATCGTCACCGGAGTCGAGTGATGATTTCACCAAATCCAAGAAATTTTGATAGAATGCAAACAAGAAATGTTCAGCGGTCATATTTTGCACATGAATTGTTATGGAATTTTCAACCGTTTGATTGTCAAAGAATGCAAACTCCACATTAAATGATGAAATCACATCGGCATGTGTACCATCGTTGCCCGATATTGAATACGCATAACTACGAATTGATGTTGTTGTCGTTGTGTGCAATTCACATCCACTTGGAATGCTCAGTCCATTTGGTATAGCACGCTCTTTTAGTATTTTACAACTGTAATCGCCGGTTGTGTCCAAATCATTTGGTTTCACATCGGCAATTTTACCAATTGGAATTTGATGATTGAATGCATAGACCAGCACACGTGCACTACGCGACATTGATGGCATATCATTTTGATCGATGACATTTACGGTGATTTGATGCTGTGAACGCATTTTCGGTTTTCCGCCATCTTCAACATCAACAATGATATCGAGTTGTGGCGTTGATTCACGATCAATCGTTCGTGTTGTTCGCATAACACCAGTTGTTTTATCAATTGATACAAAGGATTTGTGACGCCCGCCGACCAAGTAATATGAGAATGGTGCCCCATTCGGTGGCAAATCCGGATCTCTTGCGGACAATGTCATAATTGTCGCTCCAATTGGCTCGTTTTCAGAAATGTATCCAATCTTTTCTTCTGCATCGAATATAGGGCCGTTGTCGTTAATGTCTGAAAAAAAGGAATGAATAAAGAATTTAGTAAGGAAAAACATACAAATTTCATTTATAAAATGGGGGAAAAAAAATCACCTGAAACTGAAATCAAAACGGTGGCTGTTCCAGTTTGTGGTGGTAGACCAGTGTCAATGGCTCCAATCAAAACACTATATTCAGAAATGGTTTCTCTATCCAAAATGCGAGCCGTTTCAATGAAACCGGTTTGAGGATCAACTTTGAATGATTGATTCGTGTTGCCGCCAATAATCGAGTAGCTGAATTGATTATTCTGTGCCCGAACATCTTTGTCAACGGCTTTAACTGCAATGATTTTTGTACCAAGTGCAGCGTCTTCTTCAACACTTGCTTCGTATTTATTTTGTAAGAATTCAGGTGGATCGTTACCATCTTGAATGGAAATAATGACCTGAGCTTCGTCAGTGTCATTTCCATGAATGCCACCGAAATTCTTGGCCATCACAGTCAAAACAACTCGACTTTGTGTTTCGCGATCCAAATTACGTGAAACGCGAATAACGCCAGTATCACTATGAATGCTAAATCCTTTATCGTTGCTAGAACCAACCAATAAATAGTAAACTTTGCCATCGTCGCCAGCATCTTTGTCGGTGGCTTGAATAATGCCAACATTTGTTCCGATTTCGGCCGATTCCGAAACGTCAAAGTGGAAAACGGGTTGCAAAAATGTTGGATAAAATTCATTCACACCAGTTATGTGAACAATAACATTTGCTGTGCTCGACATCGGTGAATCGGGATTGCTTGCTTTGATTGTAAGTTGAAATTCATTTTCCTCTTCAAAATCGAAACTAACGCGTGATGTTATCTCACCACTTGTCGGTGAAATATTGAATAGTTCCGAATTCATTCCATTTATAATCGAATACCGAATGATGGCATTTCGTGGAGAGTCCTTGTCAGTTGCAGTTGCCTTAAAGATGAAACTATTGATTGGTGCATTTTCGGCCAAGTATGCATGATACACACTTTGATTGAATACCGGCGGATGATCGTTGATATCAGTTAATGTAACCGTCAACAAGGCGGTACCATCTTTTGGCTTGAATCCCAAATCTTGTGCTGTGATATTCAAATGATATTCTTGAATTAAATCATAATCCAAAGGTTGAAGAATTGTAATTATTCCACTAATTGGATCAACGGCAAATTCTTTACGCTCATTGCCACCAGAAATTGTGTATCGAACCATTCCATTTGGTCCATCGTCATTATCTGATGCGGTTACTGTTAAAATGGGCGAACCAATTGGTTCATTTTCTGGTACAATAACTTGATAGCTCAATGCTGTAAAAACGGGATTGTAAAGATTTTCGCCCGTAATGACGATCGTTACTTCAGTCTCATCCTGTTGTGCAGGTACACCACGATCAACAGCGCGTACAATCAATTTATACTTCTTTCCGGGTTCATTCGCTAAACGCTCTGCAACCGAGATCCAACCATTGGTTTTATCGATGGTAAAGTTGCCAGCACCATTTCCACCAACGATGAGATAATCAATTTCGGCATTGATTCCAAAGTCAAGTTCATCTTTTGCAATCACTTGTACAACCTTTTGTCCAATTTCGGCATCACTTGGTGCCGGCGATAGGTATTTCTTTTGCTCGAATTTCGGTGCATTATTGTTCGAATCAACGACATTTATGTTCACCAAACACTCGGAATACATTGGTGGTTTTCCATTATCAATAGCGAGCACTGTCAATGAGTACATATTTTCCGGTGATAGAATCATATGTGAATGACGATAACGAAGTGTTTGTTTACTGAATAATTCGCCGGTAGCTGGATCAATGCTAAATATGTCCGAAGGTTGTTGCAATGAGTATGAAATTATCGAATTTGGTCCTTGTTTATCGCGATCCGTTGCAATCACTTGACCAACAAGCGAAACACTTCCTTGCAATTCAAGGAAATTGAAACTGTAATAGCTGTGTTCGAATTCTGGTGCGTTATCGTTTTGATCTTGAATTGTGATTGTCAGTGCGGTTTCGGCACGCCACGCCCCATCAAATGCAGCTACTTTCAAAACATATTCATCTTGTTGTTCACGATCAAGATGTTCGGTTACTGTAACATTGCCCGAAATTGGATCGATTGAAAACTTATTGCCTGGATTTTCTGTGAAACTGTATGTGGCATTCGCATTTTCACCACTGTCCAAATCGGATGACGTTACTTTTATGACAAACGTACCAATTTCGGCATTTTCCGTTACATTTACGCTGAACAATCGTGAAAATCGTGGTGGATTATCATTTTTATCCAAAACAGATACCAAAACCGTTGCACTGCCCGTACGTTGTGGTACACCTTGATCGATGGCTTCAACAAGAATCTCGTAGTTTGCGATATCTTCTCGGTCTAATTTCATGGTAGTGAAAATTTCACCAGAATCTGCATCAATTTCGAATGAACCATCAAAATCTGTAGTCAAACGATATGTGATGACACCATTATCACCCGAATCAGCATCATTGGCCGATACTTTGCTCACCAGAACTGGGGGCGTCTCTTCTTCCAACACTTCGGCATGGTAAATCAAATGATCCATAATCGGTGAATTATCATTTGCATCGGTGACATTCAAAATTAATTTGACCACACTTCGTAGACTTGGTCGATCATTATCGGCCGCTTCAACCCAAACTTCATAGATTTGTGATTTTTCATAGTCCAAGCCGGCTTTGTCGATGGCAAGTTCACCAGAATTTGCATCAATTTTCAATGCATCATACACGTTACCGCCAGCAATTGCATATTTTATGGCTCCATTCGGTCCTTTCTTCGGTGAATTTGCTTGAATTTTTGTAATAATTTTTCCTTCGGCAATATCTTCAGGTAATGTGAATTGTGCTTGAGCCAAATATGAAAATGTTGGAAATAAACGTGCTGGTCGCAATAAAATTGTCAATTCAGCGCTCGTTGTTTTACTATTTTCACCTTGATCACTTGCCCAAACGATGAGACTGTACACTTTATCGATGCCATGACCATTTGATAGATCGTCAATTGTACGAATGACACCGGTGCTATTGTCAATTGTGAATTTTGTTGCATCTTTTCCACTGATCGCATATAAAATACGACTATTTAAACCTTCATCGATATCAATGGCATGTGCACCGAATACAAATTGGCCGGCTTCAATTAAATCGGGTACGTTGACGTTAAATGAACTCTGTTTGAATGTTGGACTATTGTCATTTTCATCGGAAACGACGATCGTTAAATTTACAGCTGTTGCTTTTGGCTCTGTGGGTGAGCTGTCTTGTGCCATTAGTGTCATGTAATAAACATTGACAGTTTCACGATCTAAAATTGATGCTGTGGTTATTTCACCGGTGTCTGGATCAATACGAAAACTGCCCACATTTTCACCCAACAAACTGAAGCGAATTTTCGCATTCAAACCAACATCTTTGTCTCTTGCTTGCGGCTGCAATACTTTTGTACCGATTGGCAGATTTTCTTTTATCGTTGCATGATAATTTTGACGAGTGAATGCAGGTGCCTAAAAATATAGAAAGCACATTTAAATTGATTTTTGATTGAGATGCGGGAAAAAGTTATGACAATTTACCTGATCATTCATATCTTCGACGATGACTTTAACCGTTCCGGTTCCAGTTAGTGGAGGAGAACCTAAAAAAATGTCAAGGAAAAAAAAGAGTTAGTTTTTTGGAATTTCTTTTCATTTTAATTTGAACAAAAATAATAATCAAAAACAAACAGAGAAACGAATGATGTAATCGAAATAATTCGTGCAAAAAGAAGAATCCATCTTTTTAGTATACTATATAAAAAAATGTTTGCGTTTCTATGCAATATCCTGATTTCTATATTTGTGTATGTCTTTTTTTATGTTGAACGAACATGATTATATAAAATCTCTTTCATGAGTTCAATGCATGTTGTTCTGGTGTTTTTTTTTTCTTTTCTTTTCAATTTCGCTGTGTGTGGATGATCACAAAGGAAGTGTGATTTATGAACACACACAATGCCCTCACGTTGTCATCATCGTCATTTGCTTTTGCAAGTGTACAATCGTCGTCGCATCCACACTGAGAGCACACTGTTTCAATGCCTGAGAGTATTTTATTTGCAAAAAAAGATATATGCTGTGAGTCAGATGTTGTTGTTCCTGTTGCCGTATTTTTCTGTGTATTTTCCTTTGAAAAAAATGGTAAACCGCAAAAGAAACAAACAGAGCGATAGAGAGAGGAAGAGAGAGTGGATTGGGCACAAGAAAATGAAAGGAAAACAAATATTATAACCGCTTAACAGTGCATTAAATACCAACTATAAAAGTAAAGTAAATGAAACGAAACGAGTATCACACGTACTCGTTGTACAAAATATATGTTGAAAAGAAGCTGGTAGAGAGAGCAGAAAAAAAACTAGCAGCAAAAGTATGGTTGCGGTGATGAAGTCGCAGACAATCAATGGACGAAACGACATACCGATATAAAAAAGATCAATGCATACCTAGAACTTGGTAGTTGGCTGTTGTTTTAACGATGGTAAAACGGAAAACGATCACAAGCGAATGAAAAAAAAGAGAAAAGAAACAAAGAGACTTTTTATCAGAAATTAAGAGTCACGACATTTTGCCGGAAAGTTTTTCCACAAACATACACACATAGAATGAGATAGGGACAGAGAGAGAATGAGAGAGGAAGCGAGACAGAGAGCCGAAAACCATTAAGGACACACTGGTGTGTGAGATATTCTGCTTTTGCGCTCGCGACGCTTTTTAGACCAAAATGAAAAAGACGATAAAAAAACGAATTGCGCACACACACAAAAGAGATTCACCTAGCCCATTTAAAACATGTAGTACGGGTAATTCTACATAATATTATTGTTATTTTTGAGTTTAATTCGTTGTTTGCCATTGATTTTATTTGCTTACATTGTGTGTTGTTGGCATTTTTTTCAATCTTCTCGATTGGGCTCTCGTTTGCCGATTCATTTAATGTGAGTAATTTTCGTTTCATTTGGGTTTTTTATCCGTTTTTTATGTGTGTGTGTTCGACTCATTGCATCTGCGCGCTATGGTTTGTCGCTGAGTAACATGACCAATTTTGCTTAATGTGTGTTCGATGTACTCTATTGTGGTCGTGTTTAGAGATTTTTGTCGCGAAAACGAAATATAATAAGTAATAATCATGCGAATGAAAGTTATTGTATGAGATTAAAGAGGAGAGGGAGAGATCAACAGAGCAGCAATTTAACAAAAAAACTTTGACCGGTAATTGTTGTGTGTATTATTTGGTGGTTCAAAATATCCATAAATCTGCAGGCAACATTGAAGTACAAGCACTCACGCATGCACTCCTTTGCTTTGGTTCTTCTATGGTGAATAAAAACAACGATCTTCGAGCCAAACAAAACTCTTCTTTTTCGATGTAAAGTAACGTTCGTTGTTGTTAGCAAATCAACCGCTTCCCACATTTTAACAATCACACAGACATGGATGCACTCAGACTAGAATGCTTAGATATACGAAACGATTTGTGCCGTGGCATTAGACATTATAACAACATTAAATAACATCGAAAATGTGTATTAAAAAAATAGTCGTCGGCGGTGGTTTACTATATAATTGTCATTGTTATGATTTTATGCGCGTGATGAATTTCCGAGATTGGAATTTACGATAGAGCCAAATAACAAACGTTAAAAGACAATAACTGCATCACATTATCGTGGCATCGTGCGCATTGCAACACATCCTGCATTTGTTTCTCGTCTCGTTCATCGGCCCGGCATAAATTACATCTTGTAAATTGCCTGGCTCAACCACATGTGAAATTCTAATTAAGCAAACCCTTTCGTTTCGTTTGCGAAAATGGAATGTTACACCAATTCAAATGCCATTCGGATCATTCGTCAATAAATGCTATCATGTTTTAGAAGAAATTTATTTCAAATTTTCACATCAGCGTAATTCATCATCAGAATCAGTTGTAAAACGCGTGCGAAATATGATTTCTTTATAATTTAATTTTCTTCTCAACTTGGCCCAACCGGGAACATACTTTTCTGCTTTGAATTTGTGAAATTCTCGAGAAGTTATTAAGTGTATTGTGATAGAGATAGAAAATTATGATTCAATCTGATGCAAAGTAAAATGAAAAAAAAAAGGAAAACAACTGGTGCGCAAAGCAGAAAAGATCAAGTACACATCGTAATAACATACATAAATTGGAACGCGGTGTAATGTAATGCAGAGAGTGTAGAGGCGTGTCGACAGTCGCCGTAAACCAAGTGCACTCTCTGCATGTATTGGAATGGCCATTGAATGTGGTGATTTTGTGCATATTCGTGACGTCACGAAACCCTTAGGGGTTGCTTTATTTGCTGTGTATGCATGGACAATTCGCAATGCAAAATAGCTGGAACAACAGCAGCAACCAACATCGATGACGACGGCGGTGTACTCAACGGAGAGAAAGAGAAAAAAAGAGAGGCAAGAGAATGTGAACTGGAAATTTACATTTCCGAACGATCGACATAGACATAAACACATACAAATACAACAGCAAGTTGTTGGGCAACTTTATAACTTATAATCATTGCAGATATCGGCACCAAGGAGTATATTATTTTAAACGAATTTTTCATTGATTTACTTCAAAAACTTGAAATATCAAATGAAAAGGGAGAGAAAAAATGCAACTGCCACAACAACCATACCAACATATTGATAAAACTGCCATTTTGAAATTGAACGGCATCTGATTGGTTTTTATGATCGATTTAATTGTTTTGAAATACTGAATAAATATACTATGATCAACTATTTCTTGCTCTCTCTCTCTCTCTCTCTCTCTCTCTACCTCCTTCTATCAACTGTGCTCATACAGTAATATCGTAATGATGATAAGAACAAATTAATTGTCATTATATTGACGTGTTTAGTGAAGAAATATGCATTTTTTTTATATGCGTGGAATGTTTTCGAATCGATTCCTGGACACGCCGGCCCGGTACTGCCAGCAAGCGGAAGGCAATATTTTATTCTTCATTCTAAACAGCACCTGATTGATAAATTGTTTTTGAAATGTGGCTTCGCCTTTGGACAAAATTCCGTTTATGTATATTGATTGCATGTCGATTGTTGGCTTTGCCGTACTGCATCTAGGCATAACTCTTTGGCCTGCCTTCCCGCTCGCCTGCCAATAATGCCAATTCAATACGGTTGAATTTGCGTATCGAACACACACACACACCGACCGAAAATTCACAAAGTTCGATATCATCTGTTGTGTGTTTGTGAAATGGGCGACCGGGATACAATTTGTTAAAATATTGGCCGATGGCAACATACAAAACTAATACAACTCTCTTTCTCTAACAGAAACTACTTATTATTAACTCGTTCCTTGCCAAGAGAACTCCATGATTGAAAATAACAAAACCACAACGCATTTATGGAAAAAGCAGCACACAGTGCGGACCATATGTGGCTAATTCTAGATTATCATTGGTCGTCAAATCACAAACATTCTAGTTTCACGTGAGTGAGTGCGCGCGAGCGCTCACACAGAAAGCGGCCACAAATTTTGCACAAAATTTATGAATCATAACCACAAAACCACATTCGACACTGCATGCATGCGATTATAGTGATGATTATAAGTGCGGTGCTATTTTACATTCTTAATTGAATATTAGCAATCATAAATATTTACGTAGGAAATGAATGAATGTAATTGAATATATATAGTAGATATATTTTGTTGTATTCAAATTCATTTGCACCGATTGTACAAATGGATGAAAGCATCGCCTTTGAAATGATATAAACAATTTTTCTGAACGGCCAACTTTTATCTGCTTTCATTCAGTCGACTCGATATTGTTTATAACGATTTTCATGTGGTTCGGTGTGCCTATCAGATATGTTTGGTTCGTACATGAACGCTTACATTGTATGCTTCATCATCATTGTTGCAATGGGATGTCGAAAAGAGACTGAGAGCAAAAAAAAAATTGATAAAAATTGCTGATTCTGACTTCTAATCTAATAAAGCGTCGTTATTTTTTTTTCGTTGTATTTTCAACCACATTTTATTTGTAAAATGCAGATAATTTATGGTCATTGCACTAATATGACTAAACTTCAACAAACAGACTATTCATCATTGGCCAAAGCACAACTGAATTCCTTCTTCTTATTCTTCTGTTTTTATTCGTTTCTTTGGTTCTTTTCTGTTTTTTCTGGCAAGGAAAACAGAAGGTTGGCAAACAGAGCGAACAGCGAATGAATATTTGGAACAAGGGGAAAAAGCGCTTAAATAAAGTGCAGCGAAAATAATAAACAGAATTTGTGCGTATGTGTAATCGCTAATAATGGTATTTTGCCCGCGGTTGTAATTGTTTATTGATCCATGGCTTGCGCGTGTGTATTGAATTGAGCTCTGGCACCGTTCTCGGAGAGAGAAAGATACTTATGGCCCGAATAACAATGGAAACGTCGTGCGTTTTATTTTCATATACACATACATGTATGGAACCTATTAAGCCAATCGATTGATAATATGATAAGCTCTCTCGCGCGCACCGACAACAAATATGCACAAGGAATATAAAAAAAGAACCAAAACACACACCGCCACAATTCAGTACTTCTGTTTTGTTTGATTCGGCGCTGGGGAGTACTGCATCGTACAATTTATGCATTTTTGCCAATGATCGATTTTTCGATGATTTTTTATTTCGCAACAACAACAAAATATTGAAGAAGACGGACAAAAACTTGATTGTTCTTGTTATGATTTTATATTCGCGATATTTACGGGCAAAACGAATACATTAAATGTTGACGCCCAAGGATCATTTCATTTTAAACTACTGACTTTCATAAAAAAATTCAATTCCACTTTTTTTTTTGAAATTGTTAATTTTCATATTTGTGGAAATTAAAGAATTTCACCTCAAATTCCCGACCAACCGCGATCACATATAAAAAAACCATGTAGTGTATTTTTGATGAAAATCACAAAAAAAAAATCTACTTAAAGAGCGGGTGATAGCAGTTGTAGCGCATTTTGACTTTAATATTCTTGATCAACCTTATTTCCCCCTCGGCTAGATCATAATCAAGATTTTCAGTTTTCCCTTCATAAATCAATCTGGTACAAATGCTCCTTTTGATCTCATCATCTAGAACATTACAGCCGTTTCATATATTTCATGCAATAAGATCGAATTCTTTTATATAAATTTTTATAATGTACATACGCCGCGGCAATTGGCTTCTGCCGTTGTTGTTGTTGTTGTTGCTGCTTTTAATTTTTATGGCATATTTCATCGTTGATGTGTGAATATCAAGTTCAAAAATTCCAATAAAAATGGCTTCTTGTCAATTTATACTATACATGAAATGCTAATAATGTTGAATGATGTGCGCTTCTGTCTCTCTCTCTCTCTCTGTTTGTGTATGTATTACGTGCGTGTGAGATGTTGAATTAATGCTTTCAATCGCACTGTGCGCATAAGTATATATTAACGTTGGCATCGCCTTTTGTTTTCTGTGCGATTGTTGGCGTTGTTTTTGTGTTCGTTGCATTGGTTGTGTCGCTTTAAAAAGTGTTCTTTTTTCACATTCTTGGCATTTTGTTGCATACATACTGTTGCAACTCGAGTGTGCGTGAATAAATATCTCTAATTAGTAAGACCAAGCCCACTTAGCGAGTGAGCATTCGAACACGAACATACACTTTCACAGGCTAAACCGTATTATTGAAGCGAGCAAGAGAGAGGGGGAGAGGGGGAGTTAGAGAGAGCAAGTGATTAAAGAAATTGCTTAAGCACGAGTGACGGCGACAAAGGATGATAATATATAGTATAAAATGTGTAGACAAAGTGTGTAGAAATGTAATAATAATAAACAAGTGTTCATTCATTATCATTTTTCTTTGACGATGTATGTGGATTGCGTTTTTGCATCGGGCTTAATTTCCTTGATCGAATTAACGAATTACTGAAGCCTGCCTGTTTGATTGGCTGTGGTCAACACCTCAACACACGGTCATTCGACCATCCATCCGCAGTCATATACACACAAACACACGACCGAAACCATTAACGTTGATTTTTCAATAAAAGTCAAGTTAGTGAAGAAATGTACCCTTTTACAACGGTATGAAGAAACAGTTTAGTTAATGATGGAATATAAGACAGCCAGAGACACAGAGAGAGAGCAGAGATATTAAATGGTCGCTTTTCATCAGATTGTTTTGTTTGTACAAAACTATCCAAGATTGCTGACGGCCATGAAGTGGATGACATTTTATTTTATTTTCCCTGTAATATTGCACGCTCTCTCTCTCTCTCTCTCTCTCTCTCTCTCTCTCTCTCTATTTATATCTCTTGAAAGTGGTTGATCGATGATTATGTGCAAGAATTTTTAATTTCCACTGTTTTCATTTCATGAGTGTCGAAAGAAGAAGAATCAGAGAAGAAAAAACAACTCTCTCCTCTTGAAATATTTTCAAATGAATATCGAGATAAGAATCAAACAGAACGTCATCGCGCACCTCAACTTAGATGTGTTACATGTTTGGTATTTAATATGTAAATAATACTTATAATTGCACTTCGAAAAATGCACGAAAATGTTAAATGAACAGTCAATTCAATCGGGTGTTTATTTTACGGCTGTGCTTAAAGCAAACAAATGAAAAATAAAAAATCAGTAACAAATTGTGTCCGAAAATGCGTGAAAGCGTGAAAGACATGTAAGCGTCTTGTGTATTAAAACAGCCTCACACACGCACCAATCATTTTGGATGATTTAGCAAAATTGTTTCAAGTGGAAGAACAAAGTAAGAAATTTATTGTAGCATCATGCAGATAAAGAACTCAACATTGAAATCAGTGCATATTAAGATGGTCATTCAATTCTTTGGTACATTTTTTTTTCTCTCATTCAACTAACCAGGAATTGTTTATTTATATATACACAAAAGTGTACTTCACACAGAAAAACACGAATAAGTTCGATAAGGAATGGCGAGCAATCGCGCACAAAGATGGATTTTGATTAAGAAATGAAGAATTGTCCACACTTACCAGTATCCATTGCAACCAAAGTCAGCGTGTATTCGGATTGCAGTTCACGGTCGAGTGCACGTAACAACGATATTTCGCCGGTTGATGCATTTATTCGAAACAGATCGGCATCGCCTTCCTTCAGAAAGTATCTCACTTGTGAATTGAATGGCGGTGTATCGGCATCGTATGCTTTCACCGTAATCACATAGCCGCCATTTGGTGGAATTACATTTTCCATCACATGTGCCAAATATGGTGAATCCAAAAATGTTGGCGTTGAATCATTGATATCCGTTATCGAAATGGTTAATTCAGTTGTGTCGAATCGTGATTCTTCATCACCAATATCACTGGCACAATCTTCAGCCCGAATAGTCAGCACATAACGTGATTTTCGTTCATAATTCAAATTTTTCGCAACACGTACAATTCCCGAATCTTCACTGATACTGAAATCGCGATTGTCATCACCGGCCGTTACGGAAAATCGAACACGACCATTTGCACCTTCATCGATATCAGTCGCCGAAACCTAAAGAAATGATGGGAAAAATGGATTTATTTGACAAGATTAAAAGCAACGAATTGAAATGAAATTAAAATCAAGGAAAAAAATCAAGATTTACGGAAAATTACAAAAACAAAAATATGAAAATCTTGATATGATAAACTGTGTATTTGGAAATTTATTGGAAATGTGAACTCACCTGTAAAACCATGGCACCGATGCTCGCATTCTCGGCCACGGCGGCACTATATTGTCTTGGATCAAATACGGGGCTATTGTCATTTTCGTCAAGTACTTTAACTGTAATTTCGGTTTGTGTTGATCGTGATGGTTCACCACGATCTCTGGCTGTCACTTTAAGTTTGTACGATGAGCGCACTTCACGGTCCAATCGTCCTGAAATGCGCAATAGACCATCAACCGATCCCAATGTAAACGGTACAAATGGTTCAGAGGCTAACGAATATTCAATATATCCATTACGACCTTCATCTTTATCGACCGCTTTGATAGCCATCACAACCGTATTTAGCGGAATGTTCTCCGTTACGCTCGTTTCATTCGATGTTATAAACTCTGGCGACATATCATTCACGTCTTTTAATTGAATTGTAACCTAAACGAAAAAACAACAACAAAAAGAATGAGAATGAGAAAAAACACACAGGAATTATTAATTGTCTCGTTTGTTAGCACCGTTGAAATTCAGCAAATGTATTGTATAGTCATTGTTGAATTCCAAACATGAGATTTGAACACTTCGACATCCATTCAAAAGCTCAAAAGCGTTTCCCTCTCGGATTTCTATCTCTTTGGCATAATTTTTTTTATTCATTTTGTGTGTGTATGATTCAGATGCCAGTTTATTTCGAAACAATACGCCGATTTTTTAACCGGACATTCTAAAGATAGTTTTGATAGTGATCGCGTGACGTTTGTTTGTGCTAGAAAAATTAATCAAGAATTTTCTAACGAATTTGCTATTAGAACCAAACATGGTGTTGAAACAACATAACACACATTTTTTCCACAACAATCTCCAATCTTTTTTTCTTCATTTTTGTTTCACGTGTGTAAAATTGTCAGTTTTGCAATTGAACGCATTACAAATTATTAGATTTCAAAGCGGGAGAAAAAAAGGAAGAGCGAGAAAAAAATCGACACAAAATGATAATTGTCGATTAAAAACAAACGATTCCGTGGAGAAAATAAGCAGCGATTTATTTTATGTGCGCGACTTTGTTGACCATTTAACCGGTGGAAAAGAAACGGCGCGCTGTGCTATGTCGTATAGTTTGGCTTTGCAGATGTGCGCGGTGAAAAGGTATACATTCTTGTTAGATGTTGCGGCTCAACGAGAAAGATAGAGTGCGGGCGAGAGGGAAAGAGGGAGAGAGATTGGCGAATAAGCAGCAAATAAAGCGCGGTGCGCACTCAAGATTCAGCAAACAAATATTTATGATGCAATTAAATTTAAAATACGTTTACGTGGTTCGTTTCCATAATCGCGCGTGCATTCATGCATTGAAATTAATTTTTTTTTCGTCGTTGTCGTTGCTGGATATTACGAATCTGGCATCTGTAGAGTTGATCATCAGGCGACACATAATAGCAGTGACATTGTGACTGCAAAAGACAACGATGAACAAAATGAGGGAAATAACGAAAAAATATTGAATCGACTTGAGCTCGTTTTTCCCCCAATAGGCCATCCGATTGACACAAGGAAATAATTTACGCGTTGCATTATTTGATATATTGCATTCAGATTCATAAAATCGACACACGACCAATGTCCAGTTGTTGTAAGAAAAATGCAACATTGAACACACAAAATTCAGTCGATTTAATAAATTAGCGATTGATTTAATTTGACTATTTCAAACTTCATTAAAATTAATTATTATTTGTATCCAGCTGTGGAGTCGTTGTGCATGATTTATGCGATGCGTTATGGATTCGAAGTAGGTGTGCAAAGTGGTCAATTGGCAAATGACGATATATGTACGCGCAGTGCTCACAATTTGCCAAGCTCGACATTAAGACAAAATGTTGCAAATTCGTAATTAAATATAAATTAGACTTCGATTCTCTGCTGGAATGCCTTTTTTCTCTCATTCTTCTCGGTTCGGTCGCTGATTCATTTTTTTTTGTTTCTTTCAAATTTACGAATGAATTCTCCAGAGAGATTGAGTTCGTTGCTTTTGAAGTCTTTCGATATGTGTGTAGCGAAAAAAAAGTCTCTCATTGCCTCTGGTGATTTATTTAATCGATAAATGAAATGTTGTTCATAAATTGTTTGTTTCGGATCCTACCTGAACGGTTGACGAGAGTCTTTTCTCCGGTTCTTTGGCACAGTCACGTGCAGTCACCACTAAATTGTACATTGGTATTGTTTCTCGATCGAGTGCGTGTTGCGTTCGAATTGTACCATTCGATAGAATGGTAAAATCATTGTTTTCATCACCGGCCGTAATGCTGTATTCGATGCGACCGTTATTTCCTACAAACACAAAAAGAGAGAACAAAAAAAAAATGGGAAAGAAAACACAAATCAAAGTTATTAACATTGTCAATTGTGATTAGATTACATCTGTGATTTGAAAATCTAGCGAGAGAAAAATTCTAATACAATTTGCAGGAGCCATCGACGTTGAAAAAAAAATAACAATAAACAAAAGGTTGAAATGTCATTCGAGATTTTAAGACAACCAGTGCGCGGTAAGTTATGCAAGCGTTTGCAAATCGCTTTCAAATCACTGGCCAATTCTCTTCGAAGAAAGCATGCGAATAGGCACATTTCACCCATTTGACTCTTTGATTGTTTGTGATGTAAAATAGACAACACGAATGAATGTATATATGTCGATTAACAAATGTCATTTGGTACAGTTGTGTGCTGTCGCAACCACAGTGAATGTTATTGCAAGACACAAATTGATGATTTGACGAGATGGGCCGCATCATGATGAGACAATATGGGAGAATGAGGAGCAAACACTTTGATGCATCGCGCTAGCAACCATTCATTTTGAATAGAACGTGTACTTGGGCTATGTTAACAACCCAATACAGTGCAATTGTTACTCAATGGCCATGGCAACAACAACATAATGACATGACTCCAATCAAATGGAATAGAAACAAAAACGAACGACAACCAAACAACAATTATTTGTGTGCCGTTGTGTGTTGTTCTACAAGAAATAGATGTTGTTCTTTTTTTAAAAGGCCGTAAACTACGGTCGACTTTTTTTTATTTGCCGAGAAATTTTACATGAAAATGGCATCGCAAATTCCGTATTTACCGTTTCGATTCATTTTTATTATTATTGCCGACGAACTTCGAATTAGCATAGATCGTTGCCATTTGCCTGTGCTTCTAATTTCTGCGCCTTTGTTTTTATATACATAAAAATCAACATGAAAAGTGACCGTTTCGGCGGTTTCGTTATTTTGATTGAAGCTAAATTATATTGAACTTTTGGAGTAGGCTGGAATAAATTTTGGTTTTATGGTCGTTTAAAAAACAACTAATTTCAAATCATTTCGATTGGGTCTGAAGAAAAAAAATTCTGAAGAAAAATTAAATTACAGTTTCCAAAACTATTTTGAAATTCTTTTGAAACCACTTCGACTGTGATTCTTCCAAATTTTTACCGTCGATCTGCAAAGAAAACCAGTGCATTATCATCCGGAGCGGAAATTGTTTATAATTTTAAATCATTCCAAAACAATTCGGAGCAAATTGAGCATCTTGCCTCGAGTAAAGGTCATAAGCATGCTGACAATGCTATGATACAATCGTCTCTATAAATGTTGTTGGGTGGTATATATTTTGTTTATCTTTTTCATTTTCTCGAAACTATGTTCCCCCTTCATCATCATCATCATTGTCTTCTTCTCTCTCTTTTTTTGTTTTGGCTTTGGATACAAAAAAATCGAAACATGCCACACTACAATTTCGACAAGAAAATCATGATTCTACAATATGTATAATAAATGGTATACAACGGCAAAATCGAGATATGTCAACCGATTGAAATCAATAGAAATAGTTAAATTCAAATTCGACATGCGCCTGCAACCTGATATTTTCAAAATTCATTCGAACTACAAAAAAAACGAAGCATATCAATAGAAATCACTGTACCTGAATCAATATCTGTGGCACTAACTGTAACAACGTCTTTTCCGATTGGAATATTTTCGTAGATTTCATTGGAGTAGCTCATCGGATCGAAAATCGGTGCATTATCGTTCAAATCGAGTACATTGCAATAAACGGTGATTGTTGTTGATAAACTCGGATGGCCATTGTCTTGTGCTTGTACGACAAGAATATAATGTTGTACCTGTAAACGAACGAAAACAAAAAAAAAATACAAATCAAAATTAATGTTTATTGTTTGCACAGAAACAAAATCACAACGTAAGTTTGTGTAAATGTGAATATTTTTTTATCTCCATTTATTGTGGTTTGAGTAAATAGCGGATGTTCTGCTCTTTAAAAAGCAAAGCTTGGCGTGTTTGGTTTGCGGCATTATCGATTCTTATATTTTGTGCGTTGTTTCCGTGAGTCCAGCCTCAATTTTGTGCGTTATTTCAGATTTTTTTTTATGGATTCGTAAAAGCAAAGAGAAAAAGTTGCTTTGAAATAAGGTGTTAAAACAAAGCCGCCTAACATCACTTTATGGATGGTAATTGATATTAATGAAATCTTTCACATTTCACGATTTCATATAGTATACACACAGCCAAACCGCCCAAAGAAAATAAAATAAAATAACAAAAAACCAAATTTTGGTCCATTGTTCTGTGGCCTTTTGACAAATAAAACGAGTTAAAAAGAAGAACAACATTTCATGGCTCACTTGCTAAATATGAAACATTGATATTCTCCGATTTTATTGTTATATTGTCGTTGACTATTTATGGTAACAATTTGGAAAACAAACCATTTTTGTCGGCTCAATCTGAAATTATTTCATCCAAATTATCGCGCGCTCTTTTTTTTATTTCGGCGTAAAAAAAAAAATCGGTTTATTTGTTCGGTTCGCATTTTTATCACATTTTATTTATGACATCTTTTGCCCATAATACCATCAGATTATGAAACAAACGCGTCGCATTTTACATTCGATTCGTGTGATACACGTAAAAAAAACGGTTCAATAAACGTTGGCAATATGAATCGGATCTTACCTCTTCGTAATCCAAACGAGCTGTCAATGTAAAGACTCCGGTTTGTGGATTCAACGAGAACACGTCATTACCCCAATCCGAGATCACCGTATATGATACGACGGCATTGTTTCCAACGTCCGGATCAATTGCATTTATAATACCAACTTGATAGCCACGTGGAGCATTTTCCGGTATATCAAACGAATATGCCGGCTCAGCAAACGTCGGTGGATTGTCATTGGTGTCCGTTACCTGTAATATTGGCAAAGAAAAAAAAATATTTAAATTATTAAAATTTCATGATCAATTTTAAACACTTTGAACGATACGATTCTTAAATATTTTAATTGGTTAAAATTAATGTAAATTTGTCGATGAAATATCAATATTTTTCGTTTGCAAAAGACAATTTTTGTCATCCTTTTTTATGGTTCCTTCGTTTGTATCAATTCAAAGTTATCGAATTTGAAGAATACTTCGAATGTATTGAAAATTAAAAAAAAAAACGAATTCAACGTGAAGCGCGCATCACGATTATGAAACAATGTAAAAAGAACCAGTCGATGTCAATGATCAAAAAATATTTGTACAATGTTTTGGCGGTATCATTAAGTCGGAGTGAATCGCATATCGGCGAGAGCGCAGACAATTTTCTAGAGAGAATGAGTAAATTAAAGAAAGGTGATGAGACATCAAAATCGATTTTGGTGGACTGTTTGCGACGGTAGATTTAATTTGTTGTGTTGTGAGAAAGAATTGTTGAGCGCTGACTTGAATAGTTGGCTGAATATGAGTTATCGGGCCGTGTCATTTGGTTCACGCACAGTAGAGCTTGTGTAATGTACACACTTACAATTCGAGTGCATTTCAACCGAAATCATCATCGCCGCGTCGAAATCGTAAAAGCCATGTAGAGATCGAGCACTCTTCTGAGAGCAGAAAAGCAGAAAAATATTACAAATGTTGGAATGTCAAAATGGTATTTCGCGTGGAGAATGTTTATTTTTGTTGTTTCTGTTATAACATATGCTACTGTTGCTGCCGATGTGCATTAGAGTGAGAAGGCGAGATTTTGACTGCGAATGTGAGTGATACATACAAGAAGAGATGATGAAGACGATGATGATGATGGTATTTTTCGATTTTGTGTACTCGGCGTTTCACGAGTGCGTATTCTTGTCATATTTTCTGTTTTTTTTCTCTATCTTTTTGCGTTCTTCGATGATGCATCGATATTTTGTGTCTTTTTTCTTTCATTTTACCTCTGGGCTATCTTTGATAATACACACGTTGAGTATGTTTTTTTGCACTAATGCAATTTACCATTCAATTTTCAACTCCACTAAATATTTTAATGTTATCAATTCTTTGCGTTTTAAGCTGCTACAATGGCCACAACATACAAACGACAACATTTTTTGAAACAAAACAAAGTGAACGTATTCTGATTATTTCACTTTGACTTCCAAAGTGCGAGAGCGTGCATGCAAGCGAGAGAGAGAGAAAGAGAGCGAGGTAGAAAGAGAAGAATCCACGGTAAGCAGCAATGCGCAACTGTATGATTATTTATCAGTTTTGGGCTAAAGACGGGAGTTGCGATGTTTGTCGTTCTGTCGCTTAATCGATGCGGGCATAGAATACTAATGTGTGCATCGGTACGCAGATGCATTCATACATTTATCGATCACGATATGAAATTCACAGTGTATATATTTATTTATTTATTTAGTGTGTGTTTTTGTGCTTTTCTCTTTGATTTTTGTGTGTTGCGCTTTGACATGCATTTGTTTTGCAATAACTTTTTTTTGCCAAACTTGAGAAATAGAGGCACTCCAAATGGTGCACACTCAATCGATGTATTCAATAGCGACGGTGACTTCAAACGGATTTTTTGGTGATAATCTTTACTGTGTGTTCGTTTTCTCGGCATAAGTGAATTAAAAGGCGACTCTGAACGTATATTTCGAGTGAATGGCGTTAGAAATAGCATTTATTATTTCAATTTAAGGTTGTTGACTTCATTCATTTGCAGTATTCATTGTGCCGATTATTTTATATTAATTTTTTTTCTCTCGTCTTAACGCGATCGCCATACATTCAAAAATTGTTTTTTTCTCGACATTTTATTTGTTTACTACATTTTGTATACAATATTATGATTGCTTACCTGAACTGAAACAATAGTATCAGTATTTTGAACGCCATCGCTAACCCGTACATTCAATTTATACACTTCTTTTGTTTCGCGATCTAATGTGTCAATGAGCTTGAGAATGCCGGTGTTTTTATCGAGTGTAAATTTTTTGTCATCACCACCAATCAATGCAAAGCTCAATGAACCAATTGTATCGGGATCGGTGGCTTTAATTACACCCACTGAATGGCCAGGACTCAAATCTTCCGAAACGGTAAACACAATCGGTTCATCACGAAACACAGGCGGACTATCGTTCTTATCGAGCACGTTTAGCTTGACCTGAAACGAAAAATAAAGAAAAAAAAAATTAGCTTTGTTCGTCCACATATAATACGGAAGGGTTCTTAATTTATTATATTATAGAGTTCCCAGAGGCTCATTTCAAATAACATTTATTTACTAATTGTACGTCGAATAAAGTTGCAATTTTTTGTTTGTCTCGTTTATTTTTTTTTTGTGTGCGCGCGGAGAATGAACATAATTCTAATTCTTGTTAACATCGTGTCATGTGCAGCATGTTCATAAATTAACAATATCAACGGGATTTCGTTATTTGATTCGCATGGTAATATTTTGGCTTGTAAATAGAGAATAGGTAACGGTAAATGGGATTGGGTTGGTGAATCACGGTTAAACGATTCTTGTAATGCGCAGCAAGTCAATAGTTTACTTTTCGTTTGTTTTACAATAAAGTTCATATGTTAACAATGTGATACAATTATGATAACGAAAAGCGACCAGGAAAAGGAAAAAAAAGAACAACAAGAAAACCAACAGGATTGGATAAACCAAAAGCAATGATTTTGTATCGATAACTTAATGCGGACAATTATTTATTATAATAAAATGAGAGAAAACAACGGGAAAAAATCCTTCCTTCGAAACATGACTCTTGTTAATTTATTTAATTTTCTCTAAAAATGCCATTTTTGTGTACAATTTTTTTTTTCGCTATTATTGTGAGTGTGTGAAATTGGATTAGACGACACGGTCATTGTATATTATATTCTTCAGGTCGATTCAAAAAATCTAAATCGAATAATAATTGCTCAATTAGCATAAAATCGTGCCGAAACCAAGTCGCACCGGCTCAGTCGAATGATTTAAATGCTTTAATTTTTGCATCTTTACATCTAATTGCCATTCTGTGCATTTTGTCTGCTTGGATTTTCGTGTATCATGCTATTCCTTTCTTGCATATCGATGAAAATGCAACTAGGGCGCACTCCAACTTCAGTGCGAGCGAATACATGTGTCGATCTCCTCAACTGCTCGTATCGTCGTAGTCGTCGTCGTCATCATCATCGTATTCGGTAATATGCACGGGCACACAGTTCAACGATATAAATTATTCGCAAATATACAATGTTGTGCCGTGTGGCTGAAGAATTTCGATGGTTATGCAAAAGAAAATCTCGATGCGGGAATCGGTTTTTATGCTGCCACAGAAAACAACGATAAAAATAGAATAATTTTCATGATTTACCGCTATTTTGCTGCCATTTTTTCTCTCTTTTTCTCGCTGTGGTCATATTATATATATTTTGTGCAACGCTGAAAGAGATTCGGTTGTATATTTTGACCCTTTCTCTATCGTTACAGCGCTTCAGCTTCGATTCTCTTTCTTCGGTGTGTTATTTGTTTGGTTGTTGCTGTTTTTGTCGAATTCGTCGTCGTCAGTGTCGTCGTGCGCATTTTCTCTCTTGTTTTCGATGGTTTTTGTATGTCTGTGTATCATAATAATTTTCGACGGCGTGCTTTTTTTTTTAAATAAATGGACGATTTTTTCCGTCTATCTATTTTCTAATTTATGTTTTTTTTTTCTATATTTTATTCTTCATTGAAAATCGATGTAACCCATCATGAGTTCTCGTTTCCATTATGCATTGCAATTTGCAAAGTGTTTTTTTTTCTCTCCCTCTCCCGTCTCTCGTGAATCATGTACTCAATTGGAAATATATACAAGGCTCAAACATTCTAACGCTGGCTTTCTGCAATCTAGTCGATGCGCTCTTTCTGAGTGTGTATACCTCTTTTTTGGTGTAATTCTTTATTGTTTCGACGGTAATCTTCTTTTTTTTGTTTCATTTTCTCAACTTATTATTATGGATTTTTAATATTATGTGTGGTACGAGTGGCGCATGGTTTTTCATTGTTGAACGCTCTCCGTGCTATGCCATGCTTTGATTTTAATCAAACGGACTTTACATTGTTTACACAAAAAACATTTTATGCCATTTTATTAGGGCTTCGATTTGGGAAGGTAAAGAATCGAAGCATCAGGTTCCTTGCTGTTCTCTACATAATTTAAAGTTGTTGATAATGATGATTGATCTCTAAAATGCATCTAAAATACACTTGAAATGCTTCGACTCGGTCGATTTTGTGTAAACGTTCCACTTTTTCTTCGTCTCACATCGGCCGACGTGAAAAGAACCGAGAATTTCCCATATTGCATGATGATGGGCCGCGTGCATTTTTATAAAATAGCATAACACGGTGATGATGATGACGACGACGACAGCACCAAAATGTGGAGACTACATACACATTCACACAAAATGCGCTCACACACATCAAATTTCAAATGGTGGCAAATCTGCATCTGTTCTGCAACGAAAGATGCAGAATCGATTGAATCGAGCATGCGCGAATGGCGCAGTGCGGCAAACAGTTAGATGTTTATTTATATGCTGAATGATTAACCACAGTGTGTCATGTCGATGCTTTTTCTTCAATTTCTTCTTCACCTTCTTCAGAATGGGTGTAACTTTTTTCTGTTTGCTGCTGTGGCTGCTGCTCTTACCACGGGCAGCAGAGATAAAGAGTCGTTTTTTTTTTGCTTCTGCTGCTGCGTGAAAGATTATTATCGAATGAAAAACAGCCAGACAACCGTCCGATAGTACCGTTTTATTGATAATTTTCTTCTCAACCCAAACACCGAAATTGTGAATATGTTTTTCGCATGCAAGTCAATCAATGTAGGTTGAATCTAAAGAAAAATGCGCTTGCATGTGACGCATTGAATACAATGAATTTCTGAAAATTCATCGCGATATCTAAGTCTAAACACGAATTGCAACGAATAAAAAAAAAATAATTCGACATTTTGTGGGCGGTAATTTACTTGTCCAGCCGCAACTTGCCTGAATGCAAAATGCGACAGAATATGTAAATTTTATGCGCGAGAAAAATTATAGGTTTGTTTGGTGAAAAATCAACAATTTTTCTATTGAAAGAAACAAAAAATATATTGTTCGCTTGTCGCGAAGTAGCGCTTATCATGCAATCCCATAAAACACATGAGATGGAGCGAACGATGTCGTGTCGATTTATATGCTGCATCCTACGATCTCGTTCGATGAGAGAATGCCACAGAAAATGCGCAACGTATTATTTAACTCAGAGGCATTGCTTCGGGTAAATGTTACAAGTGCATTTCACATGACGATGAAGTTTCGGTGTGGTCACTGGCATTTCTGCAGTTGCTGTTGTTTTGGTCGTCACTTTGTTTTTGTTTAAATTAGATTAAAATCATTAATTTGGGCAAAGAACGCGATATTTGAACAAAGTGGCCACAAATCAAGACACCCTCAAGCCCAATTGGACCACACCCTTAACGCTTCGATTACTTCTGTATGAACCGTGTCAATTCAGCGTACCGATACAATCTAAATCATAAAAGCGAACCACAAAAACAAAACATCATCGGTATCTTTCAAAATATATAATGATACGTAGCGACAACACTGCTGCACAATTCGACAAACTTGAATATTACTTTCTTGTAAATGTGTTGTGTGTCTGTGTGTGTAATGATCTTTTCTCTTTGGAGTAATCGTGGAATTATTACATTAAGGTGTATTACATAATGGATTATCGGGCAATGGGTATTAAATGATCGCGGCACACACGTCACGGATGCCGAAATCGAAAAACTCAATTAATCATTTTTTCAATGTGGATGGAATGCGTTTGGGACATCATTTATATTGCCGCTGCTCATCTGTGAGTAATTAATGAAATGAACGATTTCAGTTTTCCCACTGAATCCAAACAACGACGGCGACGACTGAAGAAAGGAACATAACTCGATTTTTTATGCTGATCGAAAATCGTTTTTGGGCGCTTAATCGGGGTGGAGTTTTTTTTCTCTTCATTTTTCTTTTATCTTGACATTCACCGAAAATGGTTTTGAGCGAAATCGAAAAAGATTTATCGTTTCTCTTTTTTTCGCATTTGAACTGCAAATCGAAAAAATGTGCAGTGATTTTTCTTTCCTTTTTCGTGATCAAGAAGTTGAAAATAAAATGATTCAATTTAGATTATCTGGCTGATATCTTCGAATTTGACATTTGTTCGATTGAAAATGAATAAAAATGTGTACACTACACATACATATGTTGGGGCAGGTTTGAAACTCTGTCAAGTATCGATATATTTTGTCATATCTTCTTTTTTGTCATTTAAATCGCTTTATTTATTTTATTATTTCCTTTGGCTTTGATTTTTTTGATTTTTGCCGCGTTAAGTTAACGTCCATTGTTATCCCGAATTGAAAATATACTATATAAGTGACGATTTATTTTCTTCTTTCGCTCTCTTTCTTATTTGTTGTCATAACTTTTTTTTAATGTTCATTTTCAATGACTTTTTCATCCCAAATAAGCCTATTCACAAATATTCATATAAATTATGCACGAAGAATATAAAAGGAGAACCACGGAGATAAATTTTTAAATGAGATCTTGGATTTTTACGACTTTTGACGATTGTATCTGGTTTGAATGTCTCTATTCTTGTTGCGCATATTTATGAAAATAAAAAGTGAGAAATGCTAGAATGAGGGACACAAATAGGCCAATAAATATCCCGTCGTGAGATTGACTGAATCGTTTACATGTGGAATGTGTTTAAATTATTTTTAATATCGATATGCTGTAGTTGTGATTTTCTCTCTATCTTTCTCTTTCACTTTCTGAAATTTTACGACTTTTCATGCACATTCCTTGTGTGATTTAATTTCAGTTTTCGATGTGTTAAAATCGTTTTCATTTCACCTCCAGTGTAATCCAAAAATGGTGTCTCTCAATTTAAAAATCGAAAATAAAATTGTGTCGTCAAACGCACAAAAAGTCTACATTTTGAACATCTTAATCGTTACGATCGATGCAAGAAAAATGTCGATCGTCGATCGTCTCTTGGATCGTATGTCCACAAATAAAATGATGCCTCTTAATAAATACGTTTTTATATCAATACTTAAATTGCGGTTTGTA